AATGCGGCGACGAGTGGGTAGCGGTAGCGCGTCGGATCTATGGTGGCGGTGGTGGATCTGGAGCGGCGATGGAGTGCGTAGCGGAAGCGCATCGTTTTTGGGAAGAGATGATTCCAAATATATGAGTCGTGGTGGGTTATGGTGGGGGTGGTTATGGCAATAACGGAGGGGGTTATGGCAGAGATGGAGGGGGTGGTTATGGCAATAACGCAGGGGGTTATGGCAGTGATGGAGGGGGTGGTTATGGCAATAACGGAGGGGGTGGTTATGGTGTTGGCGACGGTGGCATGGAGATGACTGTGAGTTACTATAGACTACTATGAATTTTTGTGCGGTGGCGGCTAGGGTTCAAATAGAGGCTAGGGTTTTCAAAGTCTGTAACTAAGAATACTATGGATGACTACGGACTACTATGGATTTCTATGAGTACGGACTTCTACGGATTTCTATGGGTATCTATGGATACTAGAGTCGAAAAACATTAAAAAAATTATTTTCATAATTTTCAATATTTATACAGAAAAAATAACGTTTTTATAATAGTGAACAAATATGAAAAAAAAAGAAGTGTACTACGTAAAAAAAATGAAAATGTAAAATATAAAATAAAAAATAATAAATGCAATTTAAATATTACTTTGTGCATATTTAATTTTTTGTATAGGAGGGCATTTTTGGAATGAAATTTATAAATGATGTGAAGCAAATGTTTAGTTTAACTTGTCATTTAGTTCAAATAAGTTTTGTCACTAGGGACCTATATCTTAAGGCCCCTTAAATGAAATGGCCTAAAAAGTTGGGATAGAATTTAAATAATTGATGGGCTGAATTTTTTTTATACACCTTTCCTCTCATTTTCCTGTAATTATAAAATAAGCCCTCACATTTTAAATAATTACATTTCCACCCCTTGAAAGCCCTTTTTGTTATTATATTATCCACACACTTTGTAAAATATTGCTTTGTTGTACCCATTATTTCCTTCCAATTTTCCTTAATTATAAAATCAGCCCTAATATTTTCTGATAATCACATTATGTGATTTTCTGATAATATTTTGTTATATCGGTCTTGGAAAAAATATTATAATTCCCCGTGTGTCAATATGAGTCAATCTCGTGCCAAGTGCAATGACTCACTAATATTGAGTATAATTGTGGATGCACTGGTGATATTAGTAGATGGTGGTGAATATTATCAACATAAATCACCATACGATTGACACCATATTACTTGTCACACACAATTTGTTACTTTTCACACATAATGTGAGCCATGTAACGTAATGGGTTTAGATTAAGTGGGCAAACTCCAACATTACGTTGTGGCCGATACGGGAAAACCACACCTGTTCTTGATCAATACGTCCCGTAGGTCTAGATATATACGATTACAATAACCAATATATACGTCACCGTTGCATGAAATATACCACGTCATTCAACTTCCAAATTTAGTTGTTTTTTATTTAATTAAACTACCCATTAACCTCCAAGCGGCCCTCAGGCATTTTTATATCGGTCTTGGAAAAAATAATATAATTCCATGTTTGTCAATATGAGCCAATTCGGTGCCAAGTGCAATGACTCACTAATATTGAGTATAAGTTGTTGATGCACTAGTTATATAAATAGATGGTGGTGAATGTTATCAACAGAAACCACTATAAGATTGACACGATATTACTTTTCACACACAATTTTTCAAGAATGGTAAAAAAAGTGCCTCCACGATTAAATTGTGCCTGCACAAATCATTTCAGTTTAAAATACTGCTTGCAACACCCATTATTTCCTTTCATTTTCCTGTAATTATAAAATCAGCCCTCGCATATTGGGATAATTACATTTTCACCCCTTTCAAGGCCTTTTTATTATTATATTATACACACGTCAATTTTTAAAATATTGTTTGTTGCACCCATTTTTTCCTCCCATTTTCATTTACTTACAAAATAAAATGGATTCAAGGCTACATGGTTCAAACTTGGTTCAACTCACCACCTTTCATGGACCGGTTTGGGTCGGTTCTTGACTCATTCGTTTTCGATCTTCGACCAAATGCGTTAAAAAATTCTAATGACCCTAATTATAAGTTATCTAAACACCTAAACACGCATTACAAATTAAATGCGCAATCACGGAAATTAAAATACGCAATTAAATAAATCAAGCGATATACAAAGGCTGTTACAAATCTCCCCCTTCATATTTACATCAATATTATTTAAGAAACATAATTAATATTTATAATAGAAACTCATCTTTGATATAAACGGAGTATATTATGTCTATTTAATATAAATCATAATTTGAGTGCTATACTATGAAAAAATATGCACACATCAAAAATACGAGTGGTAGAGTATATTCGCGTTTAATTAGTATGTTAACAAAAAGTTGTGAAAGTATTAATTTATATCTGCTTCGATGAAAACAAGATTTTTTAAGCGGCCTACTTGCCCATAAATCAATACGTGCAAATTATTTGGGCGTAGAATTTTTTTAAGTAAAAATGATTCAAGATAAATAATTAATATTTATACCAGAAACCCACCTTTGATATACAAGGAGTACGAAATGTCCGCTCAATATATGTACTGTTAGTATTGTTTTACTAGTATGTTTTACCCGCATGTAACATCGGCCAGATATGGTTTTAATAATTTCGAATTTTTCTGTGTAACTTATACAATCATTTGTGTCTTATGAATAAATTTGATGATATAAATCACAATTTGGGTGTCATAGTTTGTCAAAATACTACACACATCAGATAAACTTGGAGTACAGTATATCCCATTGCCGCGTGTGAACAATATGTTTTACAGGAAGAATGTTATATCGGCCTGTACAAAAAAACATTTTTAAAATCCTACACGTCAATTGTATATGAGAAATAATCAAATCGTATATGAATCAGACACACATACATCGTATGTAAGGGTTTAATGTGCACAAAGTTTTATATTCATATAACTTATCAGAGTCGATTCTATAGTACCTATTTACAAAAAACATGTCCTTACAAAAAAAAAAAAAAACCACCAGTTCTAAAAAATACCACATGTGTTGCAAAATACAAAAAAAATCCCGTTAAACAACAACAACCCAATGTGTATACACTACTGTGCACTTCTCGTCAATAATGCATATGCTATTACATCGCGCCACTTTGTCATGGAGCAATTTTCCGCATCCGCCCAAACACTTTCATCATCTCTAGCAAAGCAGTAAGCATTCAAACACAAATATTCTCCGCAATCACTAGTACCCACCTGTTGGCGCGAGGGTATAACATCTTCGACTGTGTTTGGAGGCAAATCCAGCTGCATGGTTCTGTAGAAAAAC